GGCTGAAAACTCCAACACAGATATGATGATGGTTAAAGAGATCAGAGATGCGTCAGTGGCTGAAGAACTGTCAAACTACGTGGAGTGCCATCTTCCAGAAATAAAGAAAAAGGAGGAGCTCTTCGGACAGTACCTAGAAACATTGGATCTGCTCTACAAAAGCAACAACAAGCCATCTGAATCAGATGTGTCCGCACTCAATGAGTTTTGGGGAATGTGGCTTCTTACAAAACTTAACATGGAACAGCCCATCACTGAACTGAAAAAAAGCCTAAAAGAAGACCTAGAAAAAGCAATGCAAAAACTCAATCAGAAAGAATCCCCTCTCTCAAACCTCCACTACTACACTGCTTATGGCAGTGAGCTAAGAGTACAGGGAAAACTTTCTGAGAGTATCAGCATGTACACTAAAGCCATAAACCTGGACCCCTGTTGGGCAGCAGTAGCATATTACAATCGTGCTTTTGCATCTCTAAACAGTCAGAACAGGACTCAGGACCCTGAGTGCCTCAGCCAGGCTCTGGAGGATTTGCAAAATGGACTTAAATCTCTTGACCTCTACTGTCAACAACTTAAGGTCACACATAAATATGCCAGACAAGAAACGGATGTCATGAGCAGTCGCACCACCAGATTTGATTTGCACCTAAAAGCCAGAACAACAGTTCTCATGTCTTTAAAATCCAATATTCATCAAGCTATAGAAAAGATAAAAATGGTAAGAAAGATGGATGGTTTTCTTAAAGTAGAAGAGAATCTAGTGTATTTCTTGGTTTCCCCAGAGTACACTCTGACTGTGATGCTCTACATGATGGTATCAGAGGAAATTCATTCCAGTGACCCTCTGAAGAAACGGCAGTTTATCAGTAATCCCATCTTTGACATCTTTATTGAAATCAAGAATGTACAATCTATGGGCCTGAGTCATATTTATACCTTAGAGTCATTGCCCTCTAGCTTTTATTCAAGGATGCGTTCAAAATTACGTAGGGTGTTTGATTGAGTTAAATAACAGTGAATCTGTAAATGGTTAACCACAGATGTTAACCAAGAATCTAAATGTGAAATTATTTAATCTTCACTTTTTGTATATAACGTATAAAAAACTTTAACAAAAAAACAAGAATAAAACCCCTAATTTCCCTAACTGATATTTTTACAATGCTCATATAGGTTATTGTTAAACACTGTTTCTTCACCATTATGTCACAAAAAGAAACACTTAAAGTGGATATTTCATGTTTTTAAATCTTTGCTTTTTACATTTTATTCATTTGTGGACTATGAACTATATTTGTGTCTACTTACAACTTCAGCATATCTGAACCTGGACTACAAAATTGCTGCGAGGGGAAAGAAATGGCAGACTCACGAAACTGATTAGCAACCTTGTTTAGCAGTTCCACAGCAAATGCTGTGACGTAATAGACAAGAAAACATTATAGGTAACAGAGAAAAACGAACAGACTGAAAAATACACCCCCCAAAAATAGGAAGATATCTACACAGCACTGGGAGACAAATATAATTTTTTGCACTCCTAGACATTCAAAGTAAATAACATTGAGGGCTAAAAACAGTGTATGTTGCCTGTATGTCCCTTTTAAAAGACATGACCAGCAATCAGTAGTTTGTTTTTTGTGATTTCATCTTCTATAAATGTGCTGATTCATTTAAGAAAAAAAAATGCATGTGAAACTCCTAATAAAGTGAAGAAAAATTTATTTTTAGAGGCCATATTTTCAGAGTGAAGCAGTTTTTTTAAAACATAATTTTCAACCCCAGAAATGAGAAATATACTGCCACCTGGTAGACAAATGCAGAACTGAAATTAATTTGCAATTGAACAAAGCCTAATATTTATGCATATTTCCCCATGAGCATTAATTTTAACTAAATGAAGTAAATTTGAATTGAATGTCAGTTAAACATAGTAGGGGTATTTTTCTTTTTGCTGCTTTGTAATTTAAGGAAAACAAAGAAATTACTTGGTGATGCATGAATGTTTCAGTTCATGTTGAGGGCACAGAAGAAAATCTTAGGGTTTGCAGAAAAAGCTAGGATTATCAATTGTTTTAGACATAATGTCTGTCTTAGGCAGATTCTCAAAAATTTCCAGCCATGTTCTAAAAGCTTGTAAAGAATATGATTTTATCTTTCAATGTGATAAGAATTTGAAAAAAATTTCAGTAGTTTGCATTTAGCTGTTTTATTCAACTTTTTGAACATTTAGGGAGAAATGTACAAATGAGAAATTGCATAATGTTAATGTGACAATAAAGACAGAAGACAAGTTGTTCCTCTTTAAGCTTTTATTGATATTTAAGTTTGCTTTTTAAGGATGTTCATCGTATTACACAGGGAAATGAGTCACACAAGTAAATTTCAGTTTATTTTTTACTTTTGATCTTTTAATTATTAATTATATTACTCTCCCTTATAAGCACTAATGCTAAAAAAGTTACACAAGAACTAGCACACGGTTAACTAACTTGTGAGCACATCGGGACAATAAACTAACACTTCACACAGATAAAAAAAAGAGATGTAGAAGAGGAAAAAACAGATTGAAATAAAATTTAAGAGTCAGACAGAAGACAACATGGACAAGCATTTACAATCACACATCCCTGCTCAACTCTTTAGAAAGAAGTACCGCTGGACTTTTTCCCTCCGTGTCTGACTGAAATCGGAACCTGCCTCAAAACCAACAACACCCTGAATCCATGTTACATTTTTTCTCTGGTCTCCGCTTCCTGCCATTGTAACCTCCATCTTAAAGCTTTCCACGGACTTCCCCGTCATGCTCACCGATCACGGCTCGGCCTCTTTTTAAAAAGCTTTGGATAAGTAGAACCGGATCACACAAACAAGAAACAGGCCGTTTCCACCTGACTCATTCAAATCTTAAATGGTTTAAAAATGTGAAAACATCCATGGCTGCATCCACGTATAGGCTCTTTTTCTTTTTTAGAAATATAGTCAGGCTATTGGCAACATGTCACAGGGCAGTAGACAGCTTTGTGTTGAAATATTAACGTTTAGAGGGAGATCTGAGTCACCAGATAAACGAGGCGCTGAAATTTGCCAGTACGCTGTTACTTCCTAGCTGTAACAGGACGGTTCAAGGTTCAGGCGGTTTTTATTTGGCTTGTTGGCAGTGGGGGGGCTGTTTTACACGGGTTATTTCCCGTTAAAAAAAGAGAAAAAGAAAAAAATTGCACCCTCTTGTTTTCTATTTTCTTCCTTCTACTCAGCTAAGTTAAATCTGCAAACCGGACGCAAACACTTCCTGTCTACTTCCGCGCGACAAGCAAACACACAAGCAGCTGCCCAGCTTAAGTAAAAGGTGCTTCTATTACTGAGAAGTGTGTTTTTATTCCGCCTCAAGTAAGCCGGTTGCGTCTATTTGGAGGTATCCACGTACAGGTAAGGTTATGCTGCGTTCAGATTACCTGCGAAGTTGAAACTCGGTGTTGGGTTTGACGTCAGACCCGACGTAACGGCGGTCGAGTTAGGAAGATGGAATTTCAACATGGCGACGCCCGTTTGCAATAGCTACAAACATCAATTTAAGTTTTACGCTCTACAGTCAAACACCACTTTTAATTTGTTCAGTTTAGAGTCGCACACGCATCTCTAAGCTGAGACGCAGTCTTACCTGTGTGTCTCCTAAAATGAACACGTTTCCATTGTTGATTCGAAGAGCGGCCATATTGAGTCCGCCTTACAAGTCGTGACGGATTTGCTTCCAGTTTCCCCGCGGGAAATTCGACTGCGGAGGACGGTCCAGCTGATTTATCCTACTGGGAATTCGTAAATCTCTAGTTCCCGAATAAAACTGGAACAGAGGATAAGAAACGCAAAAAATAAAAAATAAATAAAAATTCCACAACCCACACGGTGAACACAGTGATCCCTTCTGGCCTCGGCAGAAGTCACGGGTGGTTCGACACGCGGCCAGAAAAGCTGGAAGCACTAGTTTAGAAATGTGCGACTCGAGTTGACGACAGCGCCCAAAAAGCTTTGGCTGAAGCAGACAACATCCCACCCAGGAACGTCCTTCAGACTGTCGCTAGAAACTCAAAACGACACAAACGCACGTTATTAGCAGAATATGAAAGAAAAATATCCAGTCAGTATACACGTGGGGTGAGATCAGGCATGCAGATTCAGGAGAAAAAAAAAATACAACTTTCAACCTCTTTACATCCAATAAAAAAAAAAAAGATAAACAAAGTAAAACGTTGAGGACGGGACAGTGGAAGACAAAACAAAAACCTGGCAACACCAAGGAGGAAATACATGTTTATGTCAAAAAAAAAAAAAAAAAAATTAAAAAATTTGGAAACCATTAAAAAGTTAATTCATTTCAGTTATTCAATTCAAAAACTGAAACTAATCATAGACTTGTTACATACATAGTAATATATTTCAATGTTTATTTCTGTTGATTAAGGCCTACAGCTAATGAAAACCCCAACATTTTGTTCCTCAGAAAACTTGAACATAAGATCAATAAAATAAATTTTTAATACAGAATGGTTGTATTTTACCCATATGATGAAAGACCTAATCAAGTGGACAGTTGCTGACATGATAGTTGCCCAGCTTTTCACTGAGATATCCATAAAGAGGTAATTCTTAAAAATAATAATAATAACGTGCAGTGTCTATGCAAATTGATGGAATGTTGTGTGGATAGAAAAAATGAGTGCAGCAGTGAGAGGATTTTAAAAGAAAAGCTCATTTTGTAAAACACTGCAACAGTACATACAGAACACTAAGCTAAAGTTCATCTATAAAAAAATCTATTTCACTGGTCTTATGTAAAGCTTTTAATTTCTAAGAAATATAATTTTGTGTTTTCCTCAACTGTAAGCCACAATCATCAACACGAACAGAATTAAAGGCTTTAAATACATCACTGAAATTTAATGCCTCAGTATATGTAATACACCAGTTTCAGGTTTTGAAACCATGAAATAAATCAATTTTTTAAATCATATTAAACTTTTTTTTTTTTTTTGAGACACATGTAGTTGCTAGAATGGCTCTTGCTGACTGCTTCAACCATTAGTTGAGACAAGTTACAAATCAGAAAGAAAAAAAAACACATTAGAAACTAGCAGTAAAAGTAGTGGACACACACATTGTAGTAAGTATCTCTGCTATAGTATGTTTTTTTTATTCTATATTATATTAAAATCACGTAATAAAGAGAAAAGTGTTACAGTTTTGTTTCCTATTACATCATCGTTAGCTTCAGCATCATCATCAATTCTGCTTCCTGAAGAGTTTCTACGGGTTAAAGTGATGAGTGCAGCTTCTACATGCCACACTCTGGATCTAGGTTAAAGGGGTCTACAGGCTGACAGAGGGAGAGAGGACTGTTTCCTGTTCTGCACCTCCTTCCTGGTTCTTTTTAATCTCTTCTAGCTGAAAGACTGCATCTGTGCTGGACCAACATGGAGGACAGGCCCTCTCTCTCTCTCTCTGTCTGCTCTTGCGGGGGGGAATGGTGGGAGTCGTGTATTGACCGATGGAGAAAGCCGTTCGTTCATCTCGTTTTCGTTGCGTTCACGCTTCACCTTTTTCCCTTCGTTCCTTTATCGCTCTCTGCTCTTGCCGTCGTGAGGTGGTGGAAGGGGGCGAAGTCTTCTTCAGCAGGAGACCTCCATGGTTTGGGAGGGGCTGGGCGGCATCTGGCCCCCCTGCGAGCCCTGGGACAGGGTGCGTGAGCGAGAGCGGGACCCGTCCATGGAGTAGGAGGAGGAGAGCGAGGTGGTGCGGGAGCGGGACAGGCGGGTCATGCAAGAGGAAGCCACTGGGGAGAAAAATTGTGTTTGTTGATGTTCAGAAGGTGGTAAATGTGATCAAAACAACACACTGCAGAACATTCCCATAACTGTGGCATTCATCTTTAGTCCAGACTACAGGTGTCCTGGAAATTTCATGTAATTTTTGTGATGCACCGATATGAAAATTTGGGCTGATACTGATATTGTATTCCTGTTGTGGACAATAAACAATATTTACTGATATTATATGTCTATTTCCTTACCAAGAAACGTACAAACAGGAAATATCCATAATCAAGATTTATACTTAGCTGAGAAATGTTAGATGAATTTTCAGAAAAGTGAACTTACTATAACCCATTCCTTGGATGAAATATTTGAAAGCCTCAGTGAGCTTAGCAGGCTGCAGACACAGAAAGACAACACAGTTAAACAAAAACAGAAACATTTCAGAAGGATTTTTACATTTCCTGTCTATTTAAACAAATGCAACTTTTATTTTAACAACTAGGTCATTTTCTCATGTATTTTAAATGCTGACTCAGCAGAATGTGACGTTTCTAAAACGCTCAGCTGCTCCTGTTACCTGAGTGAGCTGAGGGAGGCCACCTGCGTCGGCCATCTGTGGCAGGGACAACAAGGGTTACAACAGAATCAGAGAAGAGACGCTAAAGCAAAGACAAACTGGTGTTTCACCTTCAGGAAGGAAGTTGATGTGGGGTCGAGCTTGCTGTTGCACTCCACCTGGTGGACACAGCAAGAATAACATGAAAAAAAAAATCTCCTTTCTTTACACGCATATCAAAGTTACAAGACTTTAAACTTACAGCGGCATCTTCGTACGGAGCTTGATCCCCAACGACTAACATCACTGGACACCTGATAAAGAAACACATTTCAAACTCATATGGGCTGCGCTGAACTGTTTAAGAGATTTTTATTTTTTAAGAAAGAAGAGATGTAGTTACTTGAAGGTATAGTTGCGGTCCAGGTTCAGATCTCTGCGGCTGTGGCGGAGAGAAAGAAGGGGTTAGTGGCTGTTGGGTTCTGGTGCGTATGCTGCCCCCTGCAGGACAATTTTACCTGTTGTACGTCTTCCAGAAGAGCTCAATGTTGGCCAGATTAGGCGCTTTGGAGATCCGCTCTCTGTGAGATTGCACCAAGTCTGTGTTTGCTGAAAGTTCCTCCTACAAAAAGGATAGCTTTTTTTTTATAAAACATGAAAAAGATGATGTAAATTGAAGTGTTTTCTTCCAGACGTTTAGGTTTTGCCGTACCTGACTGAAAAGGTGACATAAGATCTGCTCTGTGAGAGAGGAAGTCACAGAACTGAGCTACAGAGGAGACAAAGAGAACAGATCGATTTAGCTAATCCTCACATCAGAAACATAATCTATAACACCGTCTCGTCTAATTTTATATCCTTTAACTGATAAACAGCCCTGATCAGGTCAAACTTTGCTACAATCTCAGGTTTCTATCAGCAGGAAGACAAGAAGTCAGACGGTGAGCAGACGAACCTTGTGTGCGGCCCAGTCCATCCATCCTTTAGCGTTGGTGTCGATGTTAACCAGAACCAGGCCCTCCACTGAATCTGGATTAGCGAGCTGCAGACAGAAATCAAGTTTAAAGCAAATAAAACTTTGACGTTAGAATCGAGCAGACTGCCTGAGCTTAATGTAGCTTCATGTTTGGCGCCTTTTCCTTGTTGGTGTATTCGACTTTACTGTACCTGAGATGGAAAATAGTGATAATAATTAATGCTCGTGATATTTACTCTATTCTCTCAAACCTAATTTTCCCACATCTATTTTCGCTGGATTAATATTTGAAAGGCTGCTGTGTTGTTTATTCTGTCTGTAAACGAGTTTGCACCCCTTGAACTTTTTCACTCTTTCTCACATTTCAAAATTCAACTTGTTTGGCCTACATGCAAAATGCTTTATGTGGCAAAAAATTAAATCCATTTAAGTTGTAACAAGGAAAATGTGTAAAAGTGGGTTCAAAAGGAATGAACACATCTGCAAGGCAATATAAATGCAGGAATAATTACTGTAATTTTCATTTGGTTTTCTGCTTAGAGGCTGTGGCGCAACTAATATTTATTAAAGATGAACCGATATGAAACTTTGGTCCGATATATTGATGTTGATGATTATATATCGTGCATGTCTAATATTTACCTTACCTCAGGATGAATAATATGTCTGCATCAACATTGGCATCGGCTGACGTTTGCTGTTTTAATATGTTGGTATCGGTCTGATAAGTAAAACTGAGCTGATATGAACAACCTATGATGTCGCTTTTACACAATGTTGAAACAGCAGGAAGTGTATATTTATATTTTTAATATATATATTGGTTTTTCAGCATAGAAGAAGATTAATATCGAACATCGATATTGGCCCAAATTATCATATCGGTGCATCTCTCTCTAAAAATACCAGCTAGTATCTACAGTATTTTCCCTAAATTTGGTGCAAAAACACAATTGAAAAAAAAAAAAAATCTAAACCAGTTTAAAACTGTAACACTGCTCCCAGCCTTTTTGATAGCTGCCACTCAAAAAATATCTATTTTAAACTGAATTCCTTCATTTCCACTCTTTCAACGGGACTGTACCATATTCTTCATCTGCCTGACTGCGAGAACAGTGTCAGATTCTGACAGCTACTTTAGATTATGCAAAGGACACAGATGGTAAAAATGACAGCACTAACAATAGAAGCTACTCACTGTGAACTTGGAGAGGATGTACGCTCCCGCTCCCACCCCCACCCCAATGACGGTACGGAAGCTGACAGACGGAGAAAATTAAAAAAAAAAAAAAAAAAAGAGAGCTTAATTTAAAGACGTTTTGTGTGGGAGCACATCATATATATACGAGTCAAATCAAATCAAATGTAGTATTTACTTGAAAAACTGCAGCACAGCAGGGATCATCTCGGAGATGGTCTCCATGGAGGGATACTGGTAGCTACAACAGCAAAAAGAAATGGAACGAGGCGATCAGGGTTTTTGTTTTAGCCTCTGACAAAAGCGCATTTAGCAACCAGATATGGGAGCGGGGAGATGTGAGAGATGGGAACATTGGGTATTTTTAGAGGGGGATTACTTTGAAGCCTGCACAGAAGATTATTCACACTTTGAGAAAACGAAGGGTTATGTTAGGAAACTGAGATCAGCGTACCCTGGAGGGTAGGCGGAGGCCCCCTCCTCTTGGCCCGGAGCGTCGATGTGAATCAGGGTGAAGTTCTTGACAATCTCCTGCATCTCCTCAAATTTAAACAGAGGAGAGAAGCAGCTCTTACCTGCCGGAGAAAGAAAGCGAAGGCAGGATGAGGAGGAGAAAATGAAGATAAGAAAGACAGAGAGAGAGAGAGAGAGCGCTCTACTCACTGTCCAGACCCACGTCATGGCAGGTCAGGATGGCGGGCCGGCGGGTGGTCCGCGTCCCGTGGAGGGTCACGCGTAGAACGCCGTGCGGGGTCTCAACGCTGTGCTCCTGAGCAGAGACAGGTGGGGGCATCAAGTCTTGGATCTTAACATTCCTAATCATCACATCTGAGGCGTCTATCCCAATTCAGATCTTTTTTAGCCATATCACAGCCACAAACTTCACCATTTTTCTTTGGAATTCAATGTGACAGGCCAGCACAGAGAGCTGCGTTTCCACTGATCATATATTTGAGCAATTTGACATTTTGAAAATAAATTTGCTTAACAGAAACACGTCAGTTTTGAGAAAAACTTTTGCTGTTAGAATGAGATGTGGGTTTTTTTTGTGTTTTTTTTACCATATAGTTGTTTGTTTCTCAAACCAATTTTTGCATCACACAAGCCACATGATCAACAGCTGGGTGATGCCATGAAGAAGACAGGAAGTAGTTGTGGGATCATGGCGTGACATCTTTTGAAACGACTTAGTGCATGAACAAACTTATTCACATGTGATTTTAATTGTGTTTCTTATTTAATAGAAAAACCATGATTAAGACATTAGTGGAATGTCGACAACGTTTTGTACACATCTGTTTTGCTTTTTGCCATCTATGACAACATATCGACACATTAAATTAAATTTTGAAAAGGCAGCTACAAAGGCTTACTTCTGTACACACAGTTACTGGACAAGGAGGAAAAAAAAGAAACTTATTTGCTGAGTAATTAATCTTTGCCTGCTTCAGTGAGTCACATTTCCCAAAATAAAGCAAAACCATTCTTTGCATTTTAATTCAAACAGCCTAACGCTACTCACTCCATTCAGTTTCTGCTTTACAGTGCTGAAGCAGAACTAACCCCAGCCACTGAAGGTATTCTCATTTAATTGAATTCAGTCTCAAGCATTACTGTGTGAATGTAACAGTGCATGCACAGCAATTATACACCCTGCTGGGCTCATTTTAGTGTTGAATAAACACAAAGCTCCGGGTCAAGCCAATAATGTTTCTGAACCTCATGTCTAAGAAAGAAAATATTATTGGATTCCTCCTGAAAAGAACACATCAGTGTGGAGAATTAATATGTAGCTAACCTCTATTTATTTATAGAAATCATTTATTTCTGTTTTCTTTATAAGACAGTTCGATTTCATTTCGCACAGTCATGTAATTTACTTTGCTTGATTTGCTTGTTCAGACAGATGTCGGTGTAGATGAGAGCAGCTGAAACATTACTCATTCAAATTTATGACGGTCAAAGCAAAGCGTTAAGGTACAACAGCAGTTTTGTCTTCACATGATTAGCCGGAACTGCGCTGAAATATCTAAGAAGCAGAAGTTTTCAATTATTGAGTCGTAGCAAAAACGACGAGAGAGTAAACATGCTAGCTTTAGCCTAGCATTTAAGACTGTGACTTTATATGCCTGGAGCCAGAAAGATCAAATCAAACTAATTTATTTTGTTTAAGGACAAAATAAATTGTCCTTAAACAAGGACAGTCAAATATGGTCCATACTGACAGATTCTGATCCAGTTGTATGGAGTCTAATTAACAATAAAATGATCATTTAAACATAAAACACCAACTGACACTGTTGTTTATTTTAAGGAAGCTCAGCAGATAGCTTAGAGAATAACCAATGTCTTACTGGCAAACATGTTATTTTTACTGTTAATTTTCAGGTTTTATTCTCTGGTGTGTTTTTCTCACAGCCTCAATTATTCTAATCAAGAAACTGTCTGAAGGTCACACTTCAATTATTACTTTTTTTTTCAATATTTTGTAAGTGTTGCTTTGTTATGAAAGGTTGTTTCTCAAGATATCTGCTTTTAAACATGAGTTAGAGTTATTTTCAACTCGACTGAACTGATTCATGGATTGTGGCGGTCTCACCTGCCCTTGATCTAGGAGTATCCTTGCAGCCAGTTCAGCAACATCCTATATGGAAGAAAAGACTAATTAGTAAGATGCTTTGGATGTTTTCTTATTTTACAGAATATACATGTGGTACATGAAGACAGAGGGCTAAGAAAACAATCAGATAAGACAGATGAGATATTTTGTTTTTACAAAAACACATTATGAGTAGATGAAAATATTATGCTAGCACTCTTATTTGAATTACTTTACGTCTAAGACTGAAGCAAATGTTGCTACATCTGTTTTTTTTTTTTGTCGTAACCAACATAAATAGAAACCTCTAGATGTTTCATTATTGAAAAAACGGGTTGGAAGCAGATGTACTGATGTGAGTTTTATTATTTCATACTGAATGTATCTTACCTAAGTACAGTGAGTTTGCTGTAGCAACACCACTCTTTGTTGTGGATACTGTTACTGATTGAAGACAATTCAATTTTAGCCATCAGTGACGTTTTTAAAAATGAAGCAGTTTGAAAGAAAACTGTATTTCCTATGACACACTGAGATGTGTCCACATTTCATTCAGGCTGCGAGAAAGAGAGCGAGAGCAAGTCTTTCAGCAGGTAACAGGAAGGCAGAATGAAGTAGAACAAAGTTGCTCTGTTTGGTCCGTCTTGGATCATGTTGGGTTTTGACATCTTGTCTTTGAAGCTACAGATCCAACTTCTACAGTGTAGTATAATAATCTTGGTAACGCTGATTGCATTAACTGCTAATATGTAATGCATTCAAAATGTCAATCTGATCATTTTGTCCTCATTTTAAAAGAGTGAATCCATGTTGTACACATACGGCTCTCTCACACACACAGTGTGACGTCGCCTCCTCTTCTAATATAAATGATTAATGGCCGCTCATAGTAGGGAGGCAAGAAAAATAATTTCCATGCTGCTTTTCATTACAAAAACTTCAAATCGAAAATAGTAATAAATTTAACAACGTTACAGTAGTCAAAATATTTTCATAATCAAGTCCTTCTAAGATTGCTTACGATGTTGTGGATTTCTATTTATGTAACATTTTCTCTTCTTTATATGTTACTTTAAGCAGATACAGTCCTAATGAATATTTTAAGACAGGAAAAATGCTACACATATTCACAGTTTCTGCTGCTGGATCATAACCAGGTTGTACGCTGAGCTAATAGAAGAAGCAGAAGCAACGGAGGTGGCAAATGATTGAAAATTGCATCTAAACTCAAACAAGTTCATCACCTTAAAAAGGATTCTGTAATAAGTAGAACCACTGTTCTCATTTGGTTTCCTCTGTATCATCATACAGTTTGAGTTTAAATGCAGTATTCAAATATTTGCCTGCTCTATTTTTTGAGTGTATCTATTTTCTCTCACAATATTAGGAAAAAAAGCAAAATCTTTTTACTAGTTATTGCATTTATGCTATACCCGTGTTGGCCACCAGGTGTCATCATCAAGTCACCTGATGTTGCCATGCAGATGTTGCCCTGCAGAGCAGAGCAGAGCAGGATCTGCTCTCGCTCCCTCATCGTTTGACGTCAACCCAGCAGATCGGAGCCAGCGCTGCAGCTCTGCTCACACACACACAGCCGCTCATGCGCGGGCGCTAAGACCTTTCACATATGTGCTTGGAAGACAAGTCGTTTAATGAAGGATTTGCTCAGACTCAAGAGTGCAAACACCGACTCCGGGACACACACAAGTTCTGGCTGGAGTCAAAATGCTTCTGGTTTGAGCCTGGCTCGGTTTGGACTTAGTGTGATCGCTGTTGATATGAGTTTTCCTGTGCAGTTTATATGATATTTAATATCAGATGCAGAATGTCTAACCTTGGCAGCATCAGCCTGACCCGTGAGTAAAGGCTTGTCCTCTGTGATGGCAATTTCCTGCATTTCCGATGTCATGGTGGCTCCCCCTGAAGGTGGAAAAGAATAACAAAAACATTGAAAACATTTCATATCTCTGTCTCCTTTTTGAAATCACACACTCTGTGGCTTAGGTTTTGAGGTATCTAGATGCACACAAACACAGATTGTGGCCTGCACATACACAGGAAGTGATTAAATACTGCATGTAGCTGTTGTCCTCGTGGGACTTAAAAAGGGCTGTGGGGCCTTTTCAAAGTTAATTAGTAATTAGTGCCGGCAGAGATGTGCAGAAAGGGATTGTGGGGGAGAAAACGCAGAGCAAAAAGAACCACTGGGAGGGCTTGAAGAGAAGATGGACACATCAAAACAACGGTACATGCATAACAGATGGCTAAAGTACATGTGTGACAGGGATTTACTCTAATATGCAGCAACCTGTGCTGAAGAAGTGACAACCCTGTGTGAAATGACAGCAACCTGAGGGGACTGTTGATGGTGAGAAACCAGAGCTTCTGGCAGGGAGGGGAAAAACACCTTTACAGCCACAGCATGACACTGGGTGCTACTGTGAGAGCAGCCAGGAGCTTAACGCTGCAGCTGAAGGCATTGTTAAGAGCTAGGGTTTTTGGGATTTTGTACACACTTTAACAGTTGAACCATTTTGACATAATGGGAAGATAAACACTTAATCACAAGGAACTGCTCTCTGATCACTGACAAATGGTGAAAAAGTTTAGCTTATAAATATAGTCAGTATCTTTAGTTACCTGACCATTACTGATAAGAAAAGGTGATGATAAAAAAGCTCAGGGATTGTAAAAGTTATCACTACGTAAGCATGAACAATATAGTAACTGTTAGCACTAGCTTCAAATTTAGTACTCCACCATTTTCCTGCCTAAATGTGAGAAAAACAAATAATGGCATTATAGTTATTATAGTTACTAAAACCTCCTTTATCCCAATGTATTTTTGCACTAAGTACAAATTAACAATGTTCTCCAAAACTGAATCCAGACTAAGCATTAGCTTTAATGTAGCACTTTTCTGTAGCCTGAAAATCACGATGCCAAAATAGTTCAAAGTTCATTAAGAATTAGTGACAATGCAGCTGCCTGGCTATCAGTGATAAGTTGAAGACATGATGTAATAGGCAACATTCATTAAGAATGTTTTCCAAGAACAAAAGCAACAGTTAGTATAAAATTTAGTGCTCCACCATTTTCCCAACTAAATGAGAAAAAAACTACAAATAAATACACAAATCCTGCAAATGTTAAGCTAAGATACACAGTTATTCCATTTGCTTATAGTTACTAAATCATATTCCAATGTATTCTTACACTAAACACAGTCAACAATATTCTCCAAAACTAAAGCCAGACCAAGCATTAGCTTCTAATATGGCACTTCTCCAAAGCCTGAAACTTGTTATAAGACATAGGAACATTTTGATGCTGAAATAGACCAAAGTTCATTAAATATTCATTAAAAATTCTGACATCATAGTTGCCTGATTAGTGATAAGCTGAAGACAAGATGTCAAAATGAACACTAATTAAACATGTTTTTCAGCAGTAAAGCAACAGTTAGCATTAGCTTCCAGTTTAGCACTTCTCCCCCTCCCAAGAGTCTGCTCCATTTCCCACCTAAAAAGGTAATAAAGTTTATCTATATATTAATCTTTCACATTACAATTGTCTGACTATTACTGACAACATGACGACATAATAAACCATAGGTAATGTTAAAGACAGAACAAATAAAATATGTTCTTTGCTAAAAAAGAAAGTCAGAACTAGCTTTAGCTTCTAGCTTGGTACTTCTTCATACCCCATGTGCCCAATGTTTTAACACAAAAACCTAAAATAAGACAAGATGGAAACAAAACTTACACCCAACAAACACCTCTGGTTTGGGTGTAAGAATCATTAGCAGCACAGTGAGAATCAAAGCTAATCAGAAAGCATGGTATTATTACGTTGCTCCATTATCTATTTATTTTTGCACTGATTGATTTTTTTTCCCTGTCGTCATATTTTTGATTAGTCAATAATGGCTTTTGCCTTCCATGAAAAGAAAACAATACAAGGTTATTTAATCCTACACACATTTTAATAGCCGTTGCTATTTTAGCTATTGCTTAGCTATCGTTATTGCTTAAAGTAAATATTAAAATTGATTCAGAACGCAGCATTAGCCTTTATGAAGAAGAAGCACTGCTGTTTATAGTGCACTAACTGTGCATGTCCTGCTTTCAGAAAGTGATTACTGCATTCTGTCTGCAGGTCTGGCATTACATCAGACAGATGAAGAAGGCCAGTTAGTTTGTGTGATGCGTGTGTATGTATGAGCGTGCACGCATCATGAAATGAACAGCTTTCCCCCCTTGGGGAAAATCTGGGTCTCAAGCGGAAATGATTAGTCACCAAAGAAGGCCAGCACACACCACCAAACACTCACTGCATCCATTGTTCACCATGTAGCTCTCCTGTTCCCTCCTTACATTTCTTAACCTCATCTTTGTCTGCGTTTGCTTGGTCACTTGTTTTCTTAGTGTCAGTACTGTCACCAGGGGGAGTCTTTGTAATGCCTTTCCCTTTCATGCTGTTACTCTAAAACTAAGACTGACACATAATATGAGCTATAAATAAGAAAGAAAACCATGCAAACAGATTTGAAACAACAGTCATCAGATCAATTTTGTTACCACTCTCTTCAACATGTAGATAGCCAAGCATGGCAGATCTATTCAATGTCACATGTCATATATGATATTCTCTCAACTGTGTTCACTTGCATGGGATACAACATATGCATGACCCACATAAACATTTGAAATCAGACTGCACATTCCAAGCTCTGCCTCTCTGCTGCATGAATGCCATCTTTGAAAAGTCACAACAATCTTAACACTTAAATACAATTCAATTCCTGAAGGTGTTTTTGTTTTTCTACAAAGAGAACTAACAAATCTTCTCATTTTCCATGGCGACCGGCTGTCTGGTCATCCCAGTCGAAGACTGATCTAATGTACTGCCATGCTTAATCTACTCATCGCAATTACTTTATCTGATTAAAATAGAATTTGTCATTAGATACCAATTACAAAATAAACCGATCTCTGGCTGCACAGTCTATAATTAATCCTTTGTCCCACAGGAAGACTGCTATTTACAAAAACAGCAGCAGAGGAGCAGATTTACTAAACAGCACAACAGCTTGAAGAATAGGAAAGTCTATCAAAATAGGAGATAAAACACAAAAAAATTAACAGAGTGTGAAGGGAGGATTAAAACAGGCAGGAGAGAGTTTAACTTTGTTCTGCCCAACAGCTTATAAAGAGCTCTGCAGATTTGTCCTGGTGCCACAGCAGCTGTGATTCACCCAAATGGTAACTTCTTCCTTCAACAGCACGCCTAGGTTATCTACCATATGTGTTACAAGCAGATAATGAGATTCACTCAGCATTTAAGCCATTTAAAAACTGTAGTGACATTTGATCAATTTGATAATGAGATACAAATCAACAGATTTGCATATAAAGAGTTATTACTGTGGCTATCATTCCATTTTTTGTGAGGCGGCCATGTTGGATTGAGGCCCTGTTGGCGAGAAATCAGTTTTCCAAGTTGGGAAATTCAGAATTCCAAGCAAATCACAGCATACAAGGCTTGGTGTGTTTTGCTGGAGAAATGAGAATTTCTGGGACAAATAAGTTCAGTTCCCACAACTCCAATCGATACTAGCAAGTTTGATGAGCTAGTTGTGCACCCAGCTCCGTTTCTTCTCTCCACCAGTTACTGCACCTCTCTGCGTTCTTGTAACTACTTGCAAGAACGCACCGACCTTATCAGCTCGGTGTCACATAGAAGACAGTTAGAAATATAGACTGTTCCCCACTCAGAAGTTTTCTGTGCAACACTCAGTATGCGGACGGATGTGTCTGCTTTGAATATGCCTTGACTATGTGCAGAAAAGGGTGAAATGAAGTACATCCAAAGATATGGGAGGCTTTAAGCTAAAGGGTAAGTTAAGCCAAGACAATAATCCGAAACCCACCCGCAAATCTGTCCTTCAATGGTTTAATGGATATCCTTTGTTGATTATTAAGGTAATGGTGACCAGGAGGCTGTTTTTGCAGGAATAACATTCAAAGGTGGCCAACTCTGTATTGAATGATTAAATGAAGTCAGAAAGAATAGAAATATATAAAGCTTTTTAAAAAAAAAGACAGCTCACAGTTCATTTGGCTAAAATTTGTCTCTGCAGTTCAAAGCTTTATAAAACTGGAGATCAGAAATCGATGCGCAGTGCGAGTTTTCCTTTACAAACAGTTCAAGGTGTGTTATCGCCTTTGAGGAAAGGCAGCAGAGAACAGAGTGACACCTTATACAGAACTGATACAGGACTCGTGTAACTCTGCCTCTGTACTTACTCAACTCTTCCACTCGCTTTCCCTATACAGTTTTCTGATGTTGCAACACATAATCAGGCTTACTCCCTCTATCATCTATCATTCTTTATCTCGGCTGCCTCTCTGAGTCCGTGTGTTTCCGAGCGTGTAATAACTGCTAAACTGCACCGTCTGTCACCATGGAGAAAAGAACGGAAAGAAGCTGGGATTTCTTTAGGTGGCCCGAGGGGAGGGACGCCGACATAGGAGGAGGAGAACGTGTAACTGGCTGAGACCAGGAGGCTGGACTCACTTCCTGTTGGAACGCACTTCCACAGTTTCAGCTGTCAGGCAACAGTTGTCGGGTCCATCAGCTGTCGGGCTGCGGACGATAATTCCTTCAAATTAGTGTTGCACGCATTCATAATCCATAATCCAGAGATGTTAGTTTGTTCCATCCTGTTAGCGGGCCGCCTCAATCCAACTTGTCACAAGCTGTTTTTGTCAATCCCCACTGTCAGGCTGCACCCTGCTCTCCACCGCTGTGTCACACCGACTCCATGTGCCTGCCCTCGAGGGCAATGTCACCACACAGCAAAACTCTGGACTGGGCTTCCAGCTGCTGCAGTGAATTTGAATTTCACTAGAAAC